ATTCAAACCAACGAAACACTGGGCCACCTGCAGCGGAGCGCGCAAACTTAACCACTCGGCCACGGGGCCAGCCCCCACACATAAATGACTTTTAAAGTTTCAATAACAGAGCTATGATCTTGCTTCCATATTGATGAGAAAGCATTTCTCCCAGATTTCATAACAAAAGCAAAGTAGCAATGCTCCCCTCCCCACCCCCTCCCCCAACCGGGGAGGGGGCAGCAGGAGAGGGGCCCTGCCCCTCCAGAGAGCCTGGAGCACCTCCCCCAATCGCAAACCCCAGGTCCTCAGCCTTCCCCCTCCTACAAGCATCAATGACTGGCGAGCTCCCCAAATCCTTTCCAGCACCACCAGCCCCATCCCACAACGGTGGCCCCTCAAGAGGAGGACATGGGACACAGCAGCAAAACTGAGTCTGCCTGCTCAACAGAGGAAACTCCAAAATACGCGGCTCCAATACGTGGCTCCAGACGGAGGAGAGGAGCCCTGGCTGGGAGGGGCCCTGAGCAGAGAAGGGGCAGTCCTTGCAGAGAAGGAGGGAGAGGTTAGGAAGGGAGAGAGAAAAGGAGGAGGGCCAAAGCGTCTCTGCAAGTGAAGTAGTAGGCACAGGCTGTTTCTCCAGAGCTCCAGAAGTTTCATCATCTGTTATTGGGATCCTGGGGAACAGGGGGCTGCTACTAGCGGAGCTGACTACTAAGGGGACTGCCAGGTCACAAAGTTGGGGAAAGGGAAGCAGGTGGGAAGAGAGGGACAATGGGACGAAATCCTTGCCTAATGTCACCCAGGGGAAAGTAGCAGCACAGGGCCCAGAAGCCTGGAGCATTTGGTTCCCTGAAAAAAAACAACTGAGCTCAACACCTTCCCCAGAAAACACACTCCCGCCCGTCTGTGGCAAGCTGAACAGGGGTCCCCAAAAAGATATGTCCGTGTCTCAACCCCTGGAACCTGTGAATTATTTGGAAAAATAATTATGGGGGAAAAGGGTCTTTGCAGATGTAATTAAGGATCTTGAGATGAGTTCATCCAGGATTATTCGGGTGGGTCCTAAATCCAACGACAAGTGTTCTTCTAACAGACAGAAGAGGAGACACAGACCCAGGGAGAAGGCTGGGTGAAGACGGGGGCGGAGATGGGAGTGGTGCTGCCACAGCCGAGGAAGGGCCGGAGCCAAGGCCCCTGGAGGGAGCAAGGCTCTGCTGACGCCTTGATTTTGAACTTCTGGGTTTCCGAAACGAGAGAGAATAAATTTCTGTTGTTTTAAGCCACAAAATGTGTGGTAATTTGTTACAGCAGCCACAGGAAGCGAACACAGTGTCCCCCCCAGGACAGAACCTCCAACCCAGGGCAGCTCCCTCCCCTTCTGGGCCTGCTCCTCTCCCCCCTCCCAGCCCCCTCCGCCCACTGTCACTCTTGGCATTGTCTCTAAGTGGAAAGCAATTTCCCCCAGTGTAAGTGAAACAAGCTACTGACATGCCACTTTACAAACACCACGCCCATCACTCAGTCACTCTCCCTCTGGGCGGCCTAGGAAAGCACCCATTCCTAGGAGGAGCCCTGACCCTCCTCCCAGGGGTGAGGGTGCCACTCCCGGGGAGGGAGGGGGTTCTCATGGAGCCAGGAGAGCCGGAGAACTTGCACAGCGCCCACCTCAGACCACGGGGACTGTGCTGGCCCTCGGGGAAAGGGGAAGGGCCATAGTTTGGTGTGACCCACAGAAAGTCATAGTGTTTGTCTGCAAGGAAAGAGCGAGGAGGGAGGTTCCCAGGTTTTGTGTTTTTTTCTTCCATCTTGAAACTGGCAGCATTTCTGATATGATTGCGGGGGATTTCCACCAACGAAATTAAAGAAAATTCAGTTTTAGCATTAACTGCAAGGAGAGAGGAGTTTTGCAACCTTTGTCATTTGTGAAACACCGGCGCTGGCACAAAGATGAGAATGTTCCCCTCCCTCCCAAACCAGTCAGGCTCCTGCCATCCTCCAGCTGGCGGTCAATTACCACATTTGCCTGACATGGGACAGGACGGCACCCCGGATCCTCCTGGAGCACTTCCCTCTGGAACTGCCCCTCCAGCAGTTTTGCTGGGAAACGTGTTTGTCCCCTGGGGAGTGGCCAAAAGAGCTTTTCTGAGGACCCACGGTAAGGAAACATTTGGTGGGGCCCCAAGCCCCACCATCAGACCCACAGAAGCAGCTGCCTCTGCGAGGGAGGGAACTGGTCTCTAAACAAAAATGGTTTTGAAAAATAAGCCAGCCAAAGAGGAATTGCTTCATAAGTTGCACATTCACTTCTCCCTTTAACTGTGCAATTGAAGAAAAACAAGGTGAAGCAGGAACTGACCCCTGACCCCCCATTCACCCCCCCCCCAAGACTCCCGCCACACCGCAGTACCGCTAAGCATTGAAGCTCCCGGGGTCTAAGGCTCCTCTCTATTTGTTATTTGTGGGCTGTCTGTGTCTTCTAAGCGCCCCCTCCCCAGAGGCTGGTACCTTCCCAGCCTGCCTGCCTTGTTCTTAGCGCAGCCCCTGCCCCCAGGAGGATCTCAGTAAATACTTACTAAACACAGCAAAGCAGGAGAAAGGATGGAGCCCACAGCACAGTGCAAAGATAAGCTTTATGCACCCTTTCTGGGCAGGGACTCAGGCTGCAGAAATGCAGCTTGTCCTAACTGCAAGGGAGATCAGGGTGGCCAGGAGCACCTTTAGGACACTTGCCCTAATTCTAGAAACATCTATATTCGCAGAGTGGCCAGTGCTGTTTCTAAACATGGGTGGAGAAGGTGGGAGACTGGGGCTCAGAAAGAGGTAATATTGGCTGTCTTTAGAGGTGGCAACTGCCAATTAGGTTTTAAGAGCACTCCCTTACACACCCCCACCGGCTGCACCCCAGACTGTCTGCCATTACTTGGAGAAGTTTGTGAAGCATTGAAAGACAATCACCCTCATGTGTGCTAGGCAATGTTCTCACGAGCCAGATTGATGGGATCCTGAAGACAAGAAATCAAACCGCAGCAGAGCAGAGAAATGCTAAGCATTTGGCAATTTCTGCTCTAGAGAAAGCAGAAGAGAAAGTTCTGTTCCTATCTCCTTGTGTCCGGTGGCAGCCTCGTAAATAAGAATCTCATCTCCACTGATCACATGAATCAAACCTGGCGGTTAGTGGTCCCAGCGGGTTTTACATGCGAGTATCAGGGTGGTACCTAGAAGCCTCTGGGAAAGGACACCCCAAGTCTCCCCACCGTCACACGAGAGAACTATTAGGAAACATTCTCCTTAATCTGCAAGCAACAGCACCCCCAGATGACTAAGGGCTTTGGCGTCTGAAGGAGCCTGGACTCTGGATCAGCTACTTAGAAGCTGTGTGGGTCGGCAAGTTATTTAACTCTTTCTGAGCCTTAGTTTCCTCCCCTGGAAAATGGAGACATCATTCAGCTCCTACAGTTGTTTAACTGAAAACACAGACGTAAAAACCATCAATTCTTGCGGGGGGGGGGGGGGGAGTCCCTATGGTACCCTTCACTTGACAGGAACACCGGGGCACTCCAGCGGTGTCCAGCGCTCCCGCAAGCCAGCAGTGGGGTTAGTCCTCAGTTGCAAAGTCCCTTTGGAGCCCTGAACTTCCCCTCGGAGACTCCTGAGAGAGGAACCGCCTCCCCCCAGGAAGGCGCACCCGTCCCCCACGCGCGCGCCTGTGCAGGACACTTCTGAGGGTGGCGCCAAGGGGGCTTCTTGAAGCCCCACTTGATAGTGTGTAGGTTCTCGAGACCCGCGGCTCCCTCCAGGGGCACCTGAACGAATGAAAGCTGCTCCATCGGCCGAGGACGCCCGAGAGCTCCTTCGGCAGGCTGGGCAGATGCCCAGGGTGCCGCGCGAGGACCTGGTACGTGAGTCTGCTGCCCTCGACCCCGGAAATCCCATCTCCCCCGTCTCGCCTCCGGAGCGCGCCTGTCGGGGCCTGCCACCAGTCCCCCCGCCTCTTTGGACCTCCATCTCCCCACCAGGGCCGAGCGCAGCCGGCTACGCGGTAACCCCGTCCTGATCCCCACGCAAGGTGTCCCTGTTCCCCTGTCCTGGGTTTCAAAGAAAGAGGTGCAGAGGGGGAAGCCTAAATAAAAACAGGAAACTCGATTTAAAAAAAAAAAAAAAAAAAAAAAGCCTCATTCAGGCTGAATTACGGGCAAGAGTATTAAAAAGAAGAAAGAAAAAGAGTCCGGAAATGCAAAGCTGGAGGCGGTTTTGCCGCCGTAACCCTGGCTCAGCCGCAGATCCGGGGGCTGAGCTCTGCGCGCCGCTGCAGTAAACACGCGGCAGTAACGCCGGCGGCCCGAGTCCCGACGGGGCGGGGCGGAAAGGGACCGGGCGGCACGGCTGAGCGCCCGGCACAGCTCCACGCCGGCCCCTCTCTAGCCCGGGTCGCCCTCGCCATGGCTGCGGAGGGCGAGCAGGACCAAGGCGCCGGGCTGATGTGCGCGCCCTTCTCCCCCGCGCCTTGGCGGGGCCCTGGGGGGCGGCACCGCTAGTGGGAGCGCACCTCGAACCCCGCTGTGCAGCCGGGGAGCCCCCTGGTCCCGCCTGCTTGCCCTCAGGGCAGGGCACACGCGGCTGAACACTTCCGGACCCCCAGCGCCTCGGCGGGTGCAGGCGTGGCCGCTCCGCCGCTGGGAGCGCAGCCCGGACCCCGCCGACGGGTCGGGGAGCTCCCCCGTCCCGCTGCGCAGGGCAAGCCGTACAGGCGCAGGGGAGCTGTGCGCGCCCCTCTCGGCGGGCGTACAGAGGGCGGCCCGGCCCCGAGCGCAGCCTCGGCCCAGGTCCCGGCGGCCCGCCCGGTGGGCGCCCCTGGCCGGGCTCGCTAGACACGGGGACCCGCACTGGACCAGGGCGCACGGGCTCTAGGCGCCGGGAGACGCCCGCGGGCCAGCCCCGCGGCGCCCCGAGGCCCCTCGACGTCCCTGGCCCCGGTCCTCTTCCCCACCTCCCCAGACGCAGCCAGAGCGAGCGCTTACCGGTCCCGGCGCGGCTGGCAGCGGCTCGGGCGGCTCGGGCGCTCGGCCCGGCGGCCGCTTGGAGTGAGGGCGCTGGGCGCGAGTGAGGCTCGAGGGAGGGAGGCGGGGCGCGGTGGGGCGCCCCGCCTGCTGACAGCCCGCACACTCCACTTCCCACTTTGTTTCCTTTTTACTTGCAACAGGAAAAACAACAGGTCCTCTGCCGCCTCGTCTGCCCGCCCCCCGCGTCCCCCCAAACCCCAAATCCCCACCCCGTCTGCGGCTGGAGGGGCATCATCCCAGGTGCCTCTGGGGGCTGCACCTTGCCCTTCTTCAAAACAAATTTTCTTTTTATACAAAAGAAAACAACCAAATAAAGGTCCTAAGAGCCCATAAAACCCCCACGCTTTCCACATTCACACACCAAAGAATTTGACGGTGGCCAGAGAAAAGCTGGCGGGCGGGAGAGGGAGGGAGAGGCGGGAACTGCAGCCCTAGACACCCGGGGAGCGTCGCCAGCGCCAAGCGCGAGGTAACTGGGCGTTAGGGAGAGTAAGTGAGGCCCGAGTCGTCGGCTTTGAGCTCAAAGTCGCGCCAGGCTCCGCCCTAGAAGGAAAGCGTGGCCTCCAGGCTTTGGTGGTCAAGAGCATGGGGGTGAGGGAGTAGCCACCCCCAAGACTACAGTAGTGGTTTCAAATCCTTCTAGGATGTGATGGGGGATGACTAAGCCCATCAATTGCTCAGTCAAAGAATGACTTACAGGACCCTCCCCAACCGGGTCTGGGAGGTGAAGCACCTGTTTTGTTCCATCGGACACATGAGGAAACTGAGGCTTGGAGAGGGGCTTTTTCTATCCAAGAGATGCCCTGGCCTCCCAGGACCAGCTTGGGTCCAGTGATGGCTGCAGCAAGGCTGCAATGGGTTCTGCAAAAACAGAAACTGTTCTGTTTCTAGCCAGGAAAGGGGCGAGACTTTGGGCAAGACGAGTGGATTGTTGAGTGGTGCCAGTTTTCTAAGATCTGGGCTGCAGGCTCTGGGCTTTCAGCTGGATACTGTGGAGGAGCTAGGAGGGATCATGGGTCCCTCTGGTGAAGAATGTTGGGTCTGTCCCCAGGCGTGTACCCTAACACCCTTCCCACCGGAAAATCTGAGGCTCACAGCCTCACTCCCACCCCAGGCCCAGATCACTGGTCCTCGACAGAGGTCTCCAGCCCACTCTGGGGAGATACTGCCAAAAGCCGGAAGAGAAATGAGAAATAAACATCTCAGGGAGAAAATCTGCTGGCAGGATAAGCAGCCTGCCCCGAGATTTCCGAACACCTGTCTTCGCTTTTGCATTACTCCCTGGTTTTCAGTTCCTTGTAAGAAACCGTCAGATGGGGAATGCTTTTGCAGCGTGCAAAAGAACCCTTCATTGAATATGTTTTTGCCGACAACCATTCAAATCACGCTTTGTGATAAGCAAGACGTGCTGAGGGTTCAAATGTCCTTCACACGTTGTGGTCTCTGATCCCTACAACAGCCTCCCAAGAGAAGTCTTATCAGCCCCACTTTACAGATAAGAAAAGTGAGGCTCAGGAAGGTTGAATCATTTTGGGGACCTCACACTAAGTGTCGAACTGCTTCCAGATCCTCCTTTGACTGTTCCGTGCTGCTTCTGCCCCCGTCTAAGAAGTTTCACTTTCCAGAAAACCCCATACACTTCCTTTCTGAGACCACACCATGAGACTTATCCCGCTCTTTTGCCTGGGAGGCCAGGAAGCTCCGGCTGGCTTTAACATCAAGTACAGTCAGCATTGTCCCTCAAGTTCCCGATAGACTTGGCTTCTGCCTTCCTCTCTGGTTTCTGATCTCTCGTTCTTACTTTATTTTTAACTGTTGTCACGTGTGTTTTGGAGGAAGCTACTTCAAGTTCCCTTTGAATTTTAGATAAAATGGACCAGCCACGGTGGAGAATTTGTGGCCGTCCTAGAAGAAAAGTAGCATCTTAGGTGTAAGGAAGTCAACCCATGTTACTCACGTGACCTCCTGACTGGGATCCTTTGGCCCCATTTTATGGAAGGAGAGACTGGTCGGCAGAGACCAGGCCTGGGTGGGCAGAAGGCACACTGCAGGTCACCAGGGGAGCGTGCACAGCCCTCCAGGCCCGCCTCCTGCTGTGCCTGCCACCCTCTCCTGCAGAACTTCCCCTCCCAGGCCAGCCAGCCTCCGTAGCTTCTCACAGATGCAGTAAGCATCTTCGCTCTGTTCCACCTTGAACGGCCTCACCACCGACACCCACACATGCCCACAAGCAGGGTTATCTCAGGGCAGCCAAAGCCAAGCTGAGCACCAGGGAGCAGGGGTGCAAGTGTGAGGAACCCACTTCCTCAGCCCTTCTACGAAGGCCTCCAGACACCTGCCTCCATGCCCCATCCTGGCAGGAAGCCCTGTTTGCTGTGGGTCCTTCCCTTCCAGGCAGGGCAAAATTATCCAGCTCAAACTCTTGCCTTTTTGCCTTGGCCAAGAAAAGTGTGGCGAAGCTTTGCAGTTAAAAGCACCTTCCCTGGAGCCAAACTGCCCAGCACTGCCACTTGGAGCTGTGTGACCTTAAGGAAGTGACTTAACCTCTCTGTGCCTTCATTTCCTCATCTGAAAAACAGAGATACTAATAATGGCTTTTAACCGTTAAAACTGTTGTTAGGATTACGTGATTAATATATGTAGGATGCTTATAACAGTGTCCAACACAGAGCGAACCCCCGGAAAATGTTAATTATTGAGTTATTCTAGAACAGAGTCTTTGTGCTTAGTAGGGTTGGATGTTTCTGCTCTAGAACAGTATTTTTCCACAGCAGCAACAGTAGGTTGTGACATATTAACAGATTAGTGTACTGGAAATCCATTCGGCGGGTCAAGTTTATAAAAATGGAACAGAATAGAGAATATCCAATTGTATGCCACGCAGTAAGGGAGGGTATCTCCTGACGCTCTGTCCCATTTATAGGTATGTGTGAGTGTGCACTTCTGACTGCACTCAACACGACCGGAAGGCCGCCGCCCCGGACAACATCATAGCAGTGGCAAAGAAAGGGCAGCACAGTTGGTTAGAGAACTTGGCCAAGGTCACATCTGCTTCCTGAAAAGTCTGACTGGTGAGGATACAGGCTCAGAGGAGGCAGAGAGGTGGCCAGGTGGGGGTGCCCGGGGAAAATAAGTCGGTGGTCCTGGGGCTTGCAGCCCCCATCCCCAGGCTGTGCCTGCCGTCCGGGAATGACTCAGAGGTGGACAGGTCTTGATCCAGGTCACAGCCGGATTGAAGGCTCCAGAAAGACCCAGACGGCTCAGAGGTGGCCTGGGTGAACCAGGCCCTTGTGAGGCCAGAGACAAACTGACGGAGATGGAATTTCTGGGCGCAACCAAATGTAGGCTACTGAGAGAGATCGAGTTATCCTTTTTGTAAAACACACACACTCAAAACCCAGGCTGCCCAGGCTCAAATCCCGACCTGACCACCTACCAGCGGTGCCACCCTGGGTGAGTTGGGTCAGCACCTCTTGACCTGGGGCTGGGGGAGGAGTCCTTGAGTCCACAGTCTTGCCCCTGGCGCAAAGTCAACGTTCAAAAAACCTCAGTTGGCTTTTAAACAAATCCTTTGAAGCTCTTCCTAGTCCTGGGTGAGGGGAAATTGTGGAAAGGGGATGGTGGAGACCAGTGGGGTTTGGGGTGAAGGAGCAGCGAGGTTTGCGGTTGTGGGGCTGGATCCAACCTCATGCCTCCATACACCCAGGGTGACCCAGGCTTTGCAACACTGACTCACCAGCAAGCTGGGCTGCTACAGTTCTGAGCTCTGGGATACAGCACCGTACAAACCAAATACAAACCAAAGACCGGCTCTCCCTCCCGGAGCTTATCCTCCAGAGGGAAGGGAAACTATGAAGAATAGAAATAAGATACAGTGTCGTGAAGTAGCCACTGCTGCAGAGAAATATTCCTCAGGTTAGGAGGGGAGAGAGAGATGGGGGAGGGGACAGGGGAGTCAGGGAAAGCCTCTCTGAGGTCAGGACATTTGAGCAGAGCGATGCTCTGAGTGAGATGAGGGAAGAGCATCCCAGGCAGAGGGAACAGCCAGCGCAAAGGGGCTGAGCAGTAGCACACTGAGGACCAGCAAGGAGGCCAGGGAGGCTGAGGGTGGGGTGATTTGGGGTGAAAACAGCAAGGAAGAGGAGCTGGGGAGGGGGCAGCTGGGGATGTGGGATTTGGCTGAAAGCGTGATGGGAAGCGGTGGGAGGATTCAGAGCTGAGCTGCAGAATGGTGGGCTGTGACTCACACGTTAACGTCTACAGCAGGGGCCGCCCCGTGGCCGAGTGGTTGAGTCCGCGCGCTCCACTTCAGCAGCCCGGGGTTTCGCCGGTTCGGGTCCTGGGTGCAGACATGGCACCCTCATCAGGCCCTGCTGAGGCTGCGTCCCGCATGCCACAACTGGAAGGACCCACAACTAAGATATACAACTGTGTACTGTGGGGATTTGGGGACAAAAGGCAGCAAAAAACTCCCAGTCTACAATATATACATATATATTTCCTTTCTCTGCCAGCTCTGAAGTTCTAGAAACAATAACGCCAAGTAGCAATGAGCACACACCCAGCACCCAGATCTGGGTTTCTAATCCCATTCTCCTCAGAAAAAGAACCAAGTTTCCTTGGAGAAATGGCTGCTTCTAGGATGGGGCAGGAACTAAACAAGACGAGCCCGGAGCATCTTATTGTGCCAGAACGTAAAGAAACGCTCCAAAACAACCAAAACAAAACAATGTTGGGGGCTTGTCCGAGGGACACGAGAGTAAACCAGATAAGCTTCCAGTTGCCAAAGCTGGGACAATTTGGGCAAGAAAATAAAGCAGTATTGGATTAGAACCCAAGGTGCAAAATAAGTATCCGTGAGACCAGACTGATATAAATAAATGATCGGAGAAATAAATAAATGAGGGAGACTAGACAAGTCTCCTGCACCGAGGAATCCCAAACACAGTCATTTGGGTCAGTACTTCCCCCACCCAGCTCCTTACTCCTTAAGTGAGGGCTGCCTGTGGTGACTTCCTTCCACAATATGGAAGGGAGGACAAAGAGAAACTTTCCAGTGGAGACACCTGGCAAACACCACCTCAGCCAGATGACCAAGGTCCATGTCATCAGTGATAAGTCTTGTTGACAGCGGGGACCCTTCATAAGATGTGATGAGAATGACACTTTGCCTCTGTGGTCTTCCTTCTGAGAACTTATAAACGCCAGTCTGGTCATGAGAAAAAAAAAAAACAAAGAAAACACCACACAAACCCCAAAAGAGGGACAGTTTACCAAAATATCTGACCACTGCTCCTCAAAACCGTCAAGATTATCAAGAACAAGAAAAGTCTGGGGAACTGTCACAGCCAAGAAGAGCCTGAGGAGGTGTGACAACTAAATGTCACGTGGTGTCTGGATGGACCCCTGGGGCAGAAAAGGACGTTCAGTAAAAACAATGGTGGTCTGAATGAAGTGTGGACTTGAGTTAATAATAATGTATCGACATTGGTTCCTTAGTTGTGACAGGTGTGCCATGTAATGTAAGATGTTAGCAATGGGAGAAACTAGGTATGGGGTATATGAGAACTCTCTATACTATTTTTGCAACTTCTCTGTAAATCTAAAACTATTCTAAAGTTAAAACTTCATTAAAAGAAAAAAGATTAGAAGTGGGGCAGGGGCTGAAGCAGGCCAAATCCCCTGGGGCCAGGAAGCAGGGGCATTGTGTTAAAAACATGGAATACAATGGTTTGAGGGGAGGGGGCAGAGTCCCAGGAGGGGGCGGTGCAGAGAGTGGAAGCCAGACCTCTCTCTCTGCCCTGGAGAGTCTGCTCTGGGACTCTGACGGGAACGCTGAGACCCAGTCCTGCCCCCACACTCTCCAGTCTGTCCCCTCCTCTGTAAAATGGCATTTGTTACTCCATCATCAAGGAGGTCGTGAGACTAAAAACGAGATGATTCCGCGAGCGTGGTTTGGAGACAATCAAAGCTTTGCGATACGTGCAGAAGGGGCAGGGCTGGGCGGAGCGGCCGTGCTCACCCCTCGCCCCGCTGCACACTCGACCTCCTGCTCCAAAAGCCTCTATCTAGATAGATGCCCCTCTAGATAGAACCCTATCTTTTTTCTTTTTTTCCGAGGAAGATTAGCCCTGAGCTAACTACTGCCAGTCCTTCTCTTTTTGGCTGAGGAAGGCTGGCCCTGAGCTAACATCGTGCCCATCTTCCTCTACTTTATACATGGGACGCCTACCACAGCATGGTGTGGCATGCGGTGCCATGTCCGCACCTGGGATCCGAACCAGCGAACTCCGGGCTACCGGAGCGGAACGTGCGAACTTAACCGCTGCGCCACCCCCTAGAGCCCTATCTTTATTAGCACCTATTCTGAGGAGCATCCCCACGTGAAACCCCCAAGACCTCAATGAGAAGGGGAAGAGCTGGCTACTTTTCCCCCCCGGACAGGAAAATGAGAATGAAAAAGTGTAAACGCGGAGAGGGAGAAGAGTTAGGACTAGCAGAAAAGCCGCTTCCCACCTGCAGTGGGCTGAATGGTGGTCCCCAAAAGACACCATGTCCAAGTCCCACACCCTGGAACCCGCAGATATGACCTTATTTGGAAAAAGGGTCCTTGCAGGTGTGATTAAGGATCTTGAGATGAGGAGATTGTCCTTAATTATCTGAATGGGCCCTAAATCTGATGACAAGTGTCCTTATAAGAGAAAAGCAGAGGGAAATTCCAGACAGACAAGAGGAGAAGGCCACGCGAAGAAGAAGGCAGAGAGAGGAGCGATGCTGCCACAAGCCAGGAATGCCTGGAGCCACCAGACGCCGGCAGAGGCCAGGCAGGGTTCTCTCCTAGAGCCTCTGGAGGGAGCCTTGCACTGTCCACACCTTGAGTTGGAACTTCTGGCTTCCTGAACCATGCAAGTGGGGGGATCAGAGTTGGCCACACCAAAATGTGTCCCTTTGGCTTGATTTTTTTTTTTTTTTTAAAGATTAGCACCTGAGCTAACAACTGTTGCCAATCTTCTTCTTTTTTTTTTCCCCTACTTTTTATCCCCAAATCCCCTCAGTACATAGTTGCATATTTTAGTTGTGGACCCTTCTAGTTGTGGCATGTGGGATGCCGTCTCAGCATGGCCTGACGAGCAGTGCCGTGTCTGTGCCCAGGATTCGAACCAGTGAAACCTTGGGCTGCCGACTTAACCACTTGGCCATGGGGCCGGCCCCCTTGGCTTGATTATTTTTAAGAACAGAAGACTCTGAAAGAAACTTTGACTTTCCTCCTAACTGTCTAAAAAATTTTAAGATAGAAGGCCTGTTCCTGGAGAAACTAATACCATAAGATAAGTGTAGGGTAATGTAAAATGTGTCTCCTGGGTCACATTGTCTATAGATGACCCAGCAAACACTGGTTTAACAAACGTTTACATTTCCATCTCCATGTAAATTGCCTTCCTTCCCTTTGAAGCCCCAAACCATTACCCCAACATCCTCCTTTGTCTTTAGCTGAAGATGGTATTTAAGGTGGGCACTTTGATCATTCTTCGAGTTACTCGATTTTCCTGGGTTTCTCCCATGTATACATGTTACTAAACTTTGTCTGATTTTTCTCCTGTTATTCTCTCATGTCCATTAAATTCTTAGACCAGCCAGAAGGACCTAGAGGGTAGAAGAATTGTCTTCCTGCCCTACAAGAGAATACATTTCTGTTCTTTTAAACCACACAATTTGTGGCAATTTGTTGCAGAAGCCACAGGAAACTAATACACACCCATTTCTTCTCTGGATTATTATGCAACCAGTAGCAATTATTGCAAAGAGGTGGCCTCATGGAAAGGATCTGGGTTACACAAGCAAATGGCAGAAAAAAGGCAGAAACGTTGTTGGGTAATCAGCATGTGTCCTTTCATGCATTTTTCTGCATCATCCCGTAGTAACCCTGTGAGGTGGGTCCTGTTGTTATCTCCACTTTACAAATGAAGAAACTGAGGCAGTGCTGTAAGTAACTTCCCAAGGTCACGCAGTTGACAGGTGGGGGTTCCTGAACCCCATCCGCTGAAGCTATGGGCCGCTAGCTTCACTATTAGGCAATGGCCTTCCTCTCACCCTGAAGTCCAGTTAACAGGAAAAGTGTGGGGTCTACTGGACGAGCAATGGCAGTAAGTTGGTGCATGAACCAAAAATGGAAGGAAGAAAATGTCAGCTTAACATTTTGGAGAGTCTACCCTCTCCCCTTGGCCAGGACTGTCCAGAGGAAGGCATGCTACATCCACTTAATGGAATTGTATGCAGCCATGGACCATGGCGATTCCGGAGACCTGTAGCATCATGGGAAATGACACGTCATCAAGTGAAACAGGCTCGATGGTGAATTGCCTCTGTGCTGGGGCACCACCGTGTAAGTGTTACATACACACCGTGCGGAGTAAGAGGGGACTTACAACAGTGAAAGCTGTGTGGGAGGAGTGTTACAGAGGTTTTTCTTTCCATTTTTTTCTTTCTGTTCACATTTTGCCAAATGAGTAATACAAATGCAAAACTATAAACCTTTATTTCCTCTCCCCAAGTCAGAGCTAACCTGTCTTGCTGGTGTCCACACCGGTATCTTGGATGAGCAATCATTCTGTTCTGCCTGCGCTTCAGGCAAATTATATCGCAGCCAGATGCTCACGTGTCTGCCCTGTCCGTTAGTAACAGGGGTGACTCTGTACCGGGATGAGACCCCGGGAGGAGGACTCCTTTGGGAATACAGGTGGCATCAGGGAAGTCTGTCAGTGGGTAGCAGGGCCTCAGTCAACAGGAGCTCCAATCTTGGGGCGTGCCGGATGTCAAGAGCATGGTGCCCTTGGGTGTACGCGCAGCTCCTTTCTCTGGGAACACCCCCTGGTGCATCCCTGTGGCTACCGGCAGCCTCCGGTCGGATACGCTGGCCTTTGAGTCTGCCCAGGTCAATTGGACCAGGGGTGGGCACCTGGCCCCAGGTGAGCCAATCAGTGTTTTCCCCAGGAATATGGAATTAGAATGAAGAAAACAGTGGCTCTTCAGCTACCCGGAGCTTGGGTACCGTAACATGTAAGCTGGGGAGCTGTGGGGCCTCTTGAGCCCATGGAAAGGACTAAAGCAATTGAAGAAGCTGCTGTGCAGAGAAAGAGAGACTGAGAGACAGCCCCGAAGCAGAGGCGCAGGGAGGAAGAGAGGGTCCTGGGTGAGAGAGAAGATTTTGGGCTTTTCAGCCCCTGGTCTTTGTATCTTTTTGAGGTCCCACTGCATTCTTGCCCCCGGGTTCTCCTGAAAGTCCCTTACACCCCTTGCCTTACTCCCATATTCTGCTTAAAATCTCTATCAGTTTCCTAGGGCTGCTGTAACAAATTGCCACAAGGTAGAAAACAATAGAAATTTATTCTCTCATGGTTCAGGAGGCCAGAAGTCTGAAATTGCAGTGTTGGCAGGGTTGGTTCCTTCCAGAGATCCCGAGGGCGAATCTGTCCCTGCCTCTCTCCTGGCTTCTGGTGGCTGCCTGCCGTCCTTGGTGTTTCTTGGCTTGTAGGTGCCTCACTCCAACCTCTGCCTCCATCTTCAAACCGTGCTCTCCCCTTGTGTCCGAATCTTTGTCCAAATTTCCCTCTTCTTATAAGGACACCTGAATCCAGATGAGCCCATCTTAGCTAATTAGATCTACCAGGGCCTTATTTCCAATTATGGTCACATTCTGAGGTTCCAGGGGAGTATGAATTCGGGGGGGACAACATTCAACCCAGTACAAACTCTCTTGAGTTGGTTTCTGCAAAACAAAACAAATGAAAAATATCAATTAATACATGAATTGGTATCAGAAGTGGGGTGTTGAAAGAAACAGTTTTTCAAAGAAAGTACTGAAACTAAATGACAAGGCAGAGTGAGGGGCGATGAGGACTCCTTATCCTTGGATGGGACGCTGGCAGTTATTGCTATGTGGTAACAGATCATTAAACTATTTTCAGTGGTCTCCTGGGACTCAGAACATCACACCAACTAAGACCAACGATTTAGGAAACTTGGTAGCAAAATGTCCAGGACATCAGTAGGTGAGTTAATTCCAGCAGCCTTCAGAAGGTGCTCCGAGGCGAGCTTCAGTTCAATTCTGCTCAAGAGCAAGAAAAAGCAGGGCAAATATTTAACTCTGTTGAGGGAAATTCTTTTCTCCCATAGCCTTTGACTACCAAGCATCAGTTAATCATGTGCTTGCTACACAGCAGCAGCCACTTTCCCTGCCACTCCCTCTTTATCACACCAAGGTTGGCACATGGAACAGAAAAATCTCTGAGCTTTGCAACTGGGGATATCTGGGAAGAGCCACAGGAGTGAACAACCACCCCTTAACCTCTGTCCCTCTAAAGCCTCGCGTGGTCAAGTGGCAGGAAGGCAGGCAGGGGCGGCATTCCAAGAGAAATTAGAGAAAGCTTTCTTCCCACCCCAAATCGGGTCACCTTTAGGCTGAAAGAAGAAACTAGGCGCCCCTCTTGCTAAGAAATCCCAGTCCTGGGGCATGGCCCAGTCCAAGGCTGAATATCCAGCTGGAGAGGATCTCATGGCATTGGTTATTGGTAAATGACATGATCCCAGATAAAACTGACAGGTAACCAGCTAGGGTTTTATGAGGGTTGAAACTCCAGAAAACCCTAAAACCTGGCAAACTGGGGCTTGATGTCTCACCCTCTGGGCGATTCTGAGGCCCAAGTACAGGCACCAAGAAGAAGCAGGCCGCCTGGGCAGCTGTGTCCCCTCCTAGGAAAAGCCTTCCCAAGAAGCTCTCAAGGGCGGGCCCGAAGGACTGCAGACAGGGGATCCCTTCCCAGTGGGCAGAACCCAGGGCAGCCATGTTTGCTAGCGAAGGAGCCGAGGAAGGAAACGAGCAAAGCAGATGGCACGTGAGAGCTTGTCCTGCTGGTTCATTCACCCCGCCCGTCCCGAAGACCGTGTGTGTGCTCTGCATGGCGCTGCCTTTTCTGCTCTCTAGATCAAGCATGGCAGGAGAGGTTAGACTGATCACCTAGTCTATCGATCGAGCGGGTCCCGAGGAGCCATCTTAGAGGAGGTTCAGCAGAAACAGACAAGTGGGTGTCAGCTGGAGACGGCAGCTCAGAGAAGGGAGCCCTGGACGCAGGAGGTTGACACACCTTGGATTGCGTCACCTCTGTCAGGGGGAGAGGTATCTGTGGTTAAACGTTAGGCAAGGACAACAGGAATGGAGAAACCTGGGGAAAGTCGAAGGAGTTAAGCAAGGGGGAATGCTGAGCAGGATGGAATGGGATGGACTAGAGCGGACATGGCTGGCTTGTAGGCTTTTAGGCTGTCCATCTGGCCTCCCTTTCTGGTAACCTCTCTCATGTGGTCATGCGGACAGACACTTGGCACGCAGATCTGACCACTGGCCACAGCTGATGGGGCCAGAAGGGAGGCCCTGATTCGAGTCAGGACAGTCACCTCCTTCCCAGGAAGATGGGCTTGGGACCTGGAAATTGTTCCCTTTGGGTGAAGGGATCCAGGACACATCAGCTGGGCAAATGGGGACAGGCAAGCGGTTCTGAGAGTGTCCGGGGGCTGTCTGGTTCCAGCATCCCAAAGCTGGGCTGCATCCCCGAGTCCCACGGGAGGACCCTGGACCCTCGCTATAAAGTCCCTTTTCCTGCTTGAACTCATATGCTGGGACAGGGACCTGCACTCAGGTAAGGGGTGAGGCTGGACTTGAGAACAAGGTGGACATCGATAATCAAGAGAGCCAACACACCTAGTCCCCCGGGGTTACCTCCCACCACTGCCCGCACCGTGCCCTCCATGCTCACCGGAAGTCGTGACGCACAGCTCCAGAACACCCAGGCTCTCCTCTGGCTCTGGGCCTTTGCTCACACTGTTCCCTTTGCCTGGATGCCCTTCCCAGCTCTTCCTCACCAATTTGTTTGCCTGGTTACTCAGCACAGATATTACCCACCTGGCTCCCCTGCCTGGAGGGGTGCCCCCTTCTTTACTCGAGGCTGTGCCATCTCCACTGCAACACTCGGTCTGGCCAATTGTGACAGCCTGTGTCCTCAGCTGCTCCTGGGAGCAGGGACGCTGCACAGATCTGCGTGGGCATCTTGGCCATGAGCTCTGTGTCAGGCACCCAGGGTGTGTTACAAGCCAGTCTGTAGAACGAATGAATGAATGTCTGAATGACACAGTCATGGCTGGACAACTCAGGCTTGCCCAGGGGAAGGGTCAGGGATCTGCAGCCAAGGGTAGGGGAGCCTGGTCACAGCCACCGTGGGAAAAGCTCCTTCACCTCCTTCCAGCAGAAGCCTGACACCCAGTGACCTGGAGCCGGATGCTCAGAGGCCTGACAGCCTCAGTGAGGCTGGACTCACCTTTCAGAGCAGTCCCTTCACCCCTCATGTCACCAGAGATGTGGGTTCAGCCTGGATCAGTCCATCCCTAGGTGCAGCCCCAAGGCTAGGAATAGTCTCCAGACTGAGGAAGGGAACATGGACCCCTCTGCTCCCCCATCAGGCAGGCTCTCCCCACCGGCCTCCTGGTCTCCACTGGCAGCATCATCTACTCTGAGCTGGAGACCAGAGTCCAGAGCTTGACACCTGGGTGGCAGAGCACATTCAGCACACCCCTCTCCCCAGCCTTGTGAAGCCCCCCAGGTTCCTCTGACCCCCGGGTTTCCTTCCAGGCCGGCCTCCACCTTCCCCTCACCACCCCCCAGCTCTCTCTGATGAAAGAGCCATGGTGCAAAATTCGTTGGGGAGAAAAACAGGAAGTGGAGCCCGAGAGCAAGCCTGCAGAAGCGCTACCCGGCCAACGTGGCAGCCCCCTTCCACCCCCAGCCTTACGGGAAAGTGGTGAGGGGGCAGCCCCAGCCCCAGCTGCGGGGGCGTAGGGGGCGGCCAGGGGAGAGTCCAGTCAGGACCCTTTGGCTGTGAGGGGCTTTATTTTTAGATCAAACATCACACCTGCATCCTGCATTTTACATCTTCTCTCACCTTCTCACAACTCCTCAGGGTTAGTACAATTACCCCATTTTACAGATGAGCAAATAGACTCAGAGGAGTTAAGTGACTTGGCCAAGGCCACGCAGCCTTTGCCCACGGCTGGGTCATGGCTCCTTGGTTCTTTCTCAGTCTTTGATTTCTATTTGTGGTGTGTTTTTGTTCTGGGCCTGTGAGCGCACAGTGGCTGGGGGAGGGCAGGAGGGGGCGTGCTGTTTCTGGCTCCTTCATCTCAGCACATCCAAGCTGGTGGGAAGAAAGCGGAGCAGGGCCAGCTGCTGAGGACCCATCCCTTAGGTTCTGGTCCTGGAATGTGTGGACCAAGTGCCCTGGTCCCTTTGCTAGAGAAAAGGAGTGGGAGTCAGCCAACTGACGGCAGCAGAGGGTGGGGACCAACCCCCAGTACAAAATCAGGTATTTATGATCTCAACTGGCTGACAGCCCAAAGGACTCAGAACTTCAGGTGAGTTCAGAATCCTCTTTTCCTCCCAGGCTTAGTTTCCTGCTTGAGAGGCATCATCAGAAGAAGACCCCCAGGAGAAGAGGCGGGACTGACTCAGGTGGCCTGCTTGGAGTGAGGTGATGGAGAGGGGACAGAACCCCCTGCAGCCCACTCCCCACCCAGGCCTGAGCCTTTGCCTCGACGCTGGCTCTCCGCCTCCCTCCAGGGATATGAGGCCTGGCTCACCCCGCTTGCCCCACCCCGGGACAGACCATGGCAGGCAACCCGGGGCTTCTGAGGACCCTCCCCATGGAGTTCCACCCCAAGCCTTTCCCTGCCCAGGGCTCCCAGAGATCTGAGGCATTGAGGCAGAGGGTCACCCCTGTTGCCCGTGTTTTTCCCAGGCCTTGACCCACGGGGGAGTCGTCCTGTGCTTCAGCATTCTCCGCCACCCACATCTACTTCCTGACTACCAGCTCTGTACCGGCTACCTCTGGGCACCTCCCCCCCAACACTCCACAGAGCTCTCAAACTGAGCTCCTCAGGCTCCCCAATCCCGGCCACCCACTGCGGAAGGCTCTGCGGCCCACAGGGTCCATGAAGTGGAAACCACAGCATCGTGCTGGGGCTTCATTCACCCACGGTGCACCACGGCGCCATCCTCCCTCCACGACAGGGGCACCTTTCCCAGAAGCCGCTGAGGGCTGTCAGGCCACAGCAGAAGCTAGGACGTCTGCCTCAGGGGTTCCTCTGCTGCCCTCTCAGGGGTGGGTGGGCTCTGCCCCCCAGCTGTCCTGCTTCCTCTCCCAGTGGGCCACTGGGCTGCAGAGCAGCAAACAAGAGAGGCTCTCGGCCTTCGCCATCAAAGGCGTCCCCTCCTCTCTCTGCCCTCTCTGCATAGCCGTCCCGGCCAGCACTGAGCATCCTCCAGGGGCCAGCAGAGAAGGTGGACACGATGCGGGGGGCCTGGCCTCCTGTCTTTTGTGGAGGAGACTGAGCCTCTGGTCCCCAGCCACTCTTATAAGAAAGGGAACCATCAAAATGAGTCAATATATGTAAAGTGGTAGGAGAATGCACGACTGTTAGCGAGAGCTCAATATGTTTATTTCCATCATGGTATAATTTAATCCTGACAACAACCCTGTGAGGTCAGTACTATGCTCCCATTTTATAGGTGAGAAAAGTGAGGCGGAGAGAGGGGAAGCCACACGTCTAAACTGATGCAGCATTAAGTGGCTGCACAGGGATCCGAACCACTGGAAGCTTGTGTTCTAAGCCACCGTGCATGTGCACCAGGACTGGCCTGGCCCGGCACGCCTGGGGGCCAGCTTCGGATGTACACACCCACACACACACACACTCTCTTGGGCTGCTCCCACCGCTGCAGGATGGCACGGGAGGCTGTGCCCGGACGACAGCGAGGCTGAACTGGGGTCCCGGGGCGGAGCCTTCGCGGCCCAGCCCACCTTCCCCCCGCGCGGCGCCCGCGCCCCCAACCTCGGGGGCCTCCTGTTTGGGCTCCAGGGACGCACGGGTGCCACCTGGTGGCGACGTAGGGTAAACGCCACCGCTGTCCCAGCCACGCATCGCCGCGCTCAGCGCGCGCTCCCTGCCGCCCGTTTGGCTAAGGTGTGTAGTGATTCGGTCAAACGAACGATCTCCAGAACACGGAATTCCCTTTCCTTCCCGCCCAGCTTCCTCCAGGGATGGGGAAATGAGTGTAAAGCCTTGTGTTGCTGCACTTGGGCTGCCGGTTGTTTGGGGGCAGGTATTGTGGCAGCAAGCTCATTTTACTGAAAAGTGAAAAATATTGTATGTTCCCTCAAACTTCCTCTCCTTTCTCTGTTCCTGCACACAGGTGGCAGGTTATTCCAGAGCCGCTCTCCCAGCTGAGCTTCGTGCTGGACAGCTCAGCCCCAGCTCTGACCTTCTCCCCTACTCTCTCTCCCAGCTGGATCCAGCCCCTGTGCCTGGGCAGCCTCGTGCATCTCCCCCGGGGCATTTGGCAGTCCCCCCCAATAGAATCTGCCCCCAACCCAACTTCCCGCCAACCTGCCCAGGTCCTGCACTTCCTTCCTGCTTCAGTGAAAGTTGTCTTCAGTGAAAGTTGTCATCGTGTCCCCCCACCCTTGGCCGAAGCAGAAACCTGCTCACGGTTCACTTCTCTCTCTTCTCCACCGCAGGCAGGTGTGGCTAAGCCTCGCTGTCTGTGTGACCATCAAGGGGCAGGGGCTACAGGTTTCACTCTTCATTCAACACATGCTGTCAAATGTCACCAGACACAGTCCTACACCCTGAGGATACAGCAGTGACCAATAACCATGTCCCCGAGGACATTCTAGGGGGGAGGGGGCAAATAATACAGGAATAAATAAGAAATAAACAAGTACATTGCTAATACCTTGCATGGCAATAAGTGCTAAGGACAATAACGTGGAGTAGGGGCCACTGTCACCAGACCCCCAGGTGGCCTCCTCACCCTGCTTGGGACCCCCGCCCCATATCAAGGGCGGCTGCCCTCACCCCGCACGCACGTTGCCTTCCTCACTCTCTGCAAGGACCCCCGCCCCCGCCCCGGCCTCCTCGTTGCCTCCCCTCAAGCCCCGATACCTCCCACCAGGTTGCCCTCCTGTGTGGACGCCCCCTCCCAGCTGGCCCCCCAGGGCAGACGCTGCATGGTCTGCTCCTCTCCCTTTGGACCTTTTTGGAGCTTCTGGACTGAACTGTTAGGGAACGGAAAGGGAAGAGGAGAGAAAGCAGCCCCTCAACTTGATATTTTGAAATTTTTCAACCCCTCCAAAAAGCTGACAGAGTGGTGCTGGGAACACCAGCTGCCCTAGAGGAAGGTAGCTTAAGGTGGGACGAAAACAGCCTGGTTGAAAGCCCATGGCAGAATGATCCAGGAGACAGGAAAACAGTGACAACGCAGAAGGGGGAGGAGCTGCTGTTGGATGGGGTCCTCGAGCAGGAGAGGGGGTGGCCTTGGATGGGGTGTGGACAGTCCGGCCATGGCGACAGGCAGGAGAGCAGAGGACAGGGGACAGCTGTGCAGAGGCTGGTAGACATAACGTGGGGGACATGGACTTCTCTCCTGACTTCTGCAGCTTTTTTCTGTTCATTAAGAAGCAAGCTTATCAGCTGAGAGACAGAAGAGGGGAAGTGGTGCTGAGACTGCGAGGCGAGAGGTGAAGGTGTGACAAGTTCCTCTAGGAGCCTGCCAGGAGTGGGCCTGGGGCTGCAGAGGGCCCTCGAGGTTCTGTGGTCATGCAGCTAAACTGAGACCCTTCGGTGTGGCTGTGTTTCTCTCCAAACACTTTGGTCCAAGTGGGTCTGTGCCTCTGCTAGCACCTCCATCTTCTCTTCCAGCCCCCTCGGCTGCTGCCCCTGCCCGCCCTTCCTCCCTCCCTCACCGATGGAGCGCCCCAGTCTCTGGGTTCGGGGCCTGGAGGAGAGTGAAGCTGAGAGGCACAGGGAGAAGCGGTGGAAGGAGGGCCTGCCTCGGGGGCTTCAGATCCAGGCACAGCCGGGCCGGCTCCCGGCCTTCCTCTGCCCAGGGCCTCCCCGGCTGAAGCTTGAGTCGGCCTCTCCCGCTTTGCCACCTGGAACATTTCAGTTGAACCTTCTGACTCCAGCCTCTTCCCTCTAATCTGTCTGCCCTTTACCCCTTCCAGATCCGATAGCTGCGAGTTCATTCTTCTACAGGTGTTAGCTAGGCAAGGACATAGAATGTTCTGGAAGGCTCCAGGGTCCTGAGTGGGAATGGTCATAACCAGCACTTACCAAGTACAAGGCACTGTTGTAAGCACTGTGCGTACATACCGTTAATCATTCAGTTCTCATGATGGTCCTCTGAGCAGCCTCTGTGATGATTCCCATGGCGCAGGGGAAGGTGCAGGGGCAGAGAGGGTCTGTGCCAGTGCGCTCACAACTGGACGAGCCGGGGTCTGGAGCCAGAGCCCCTGGGCCTGACTTGGTCAGGAAACCAAAGAAGGCCCATGCGGCTAGACAGCAGAGAAGGGGGCGGGGTGGCAGGATGGGCTATATAATGCTCAGGGCCCCACGCAAAGTGAAAATACGGGCCCTCACTCAAAAATTATGAGGAATTTCAAGATGGTGTTTCCAGCAGGTCATTAAGCCAAGTGTGCGGCCTGTTTGGCCATGCAGCTGCCCATGCAGCTGGGCCTGGTGGTGAAGACACGCAGGCAGGACCAGCGGGTCAGGGCTTCTGAAGCGGGGTCCAGAGTGGGTTGTTGTAGGGGATGTTCATGTGTTGCCTTTGCCTTCCTGCAAGGCGACCCCCT